GCAATAAGAGCACGCAGCAACGACTCTGGTCTATGATATTGATGCGATATAATTGTCTTGGCTACTATGCTTGGAGGAAATTTAAAAGTTTTAATTTTGAAATTGGTCGTATATATCACCGAGGACTTGTCGATCGGATAGATTCGCGCACAGGGTCGCCGAGGGATTGGGGCGGTGTCATCCCCTTCTGACAGCCCATTGTTGCGAGCCAAAGATAAATGATTGTAAAATAAAACATTCGACCCTAGCTCGCACCCAAACATGTCATTATTGCCACATAAGCGAAAACCAATGGGGTGAATCCGAATGCCAACAGAAACTTGAAGACGAGCTCTCACAGCTCCGTTCTGCTTCAAAGCCCCCCCTCGGAGAATTCTTTCAGCGACGTTTTAAAAATTTACCCCCGTACTCCCCTCCCATCTGGAGGTTGCTTGTATGTTTACGCAAATCTACACAATTATTTATCTAAAAAAGAAGAGAAAAACGGGAAAGATGAAAGATGGTGAAGGGTGGATATTTTTCGCGTTCTTCTAAATGTTAGTTCTGAAATATAAATTGAGAAAAATTTGAGCGATGATGGCTGTAAAAAATTGAATCTAATATACGAGGGTGGATTGATAAGTTTCCGGCCTAACCAAGAGATGACGCCACTAGGCCTACCTTGAGGTGACATTCTATAGTACCATCCTTGGATAGCTTGTAGCTATAGTTTCAGCCCGATCTCCTTGCTAGTGTAGGTTTGACAGCACGCTGAACAAGACGCCTCTGTGGTTTTCGTAAAAATGGAAAAGCAGGAAAATCGTGCTGTCATCAAATACTTTTATTTGAAGGGGTTAACGCCGAAGGAAATTAAAAAAGAGATGGACTCAACACTGGGGACATCCTCCCCGTCATATTCAACCGTTAAGCAGTGGGTTTCCGAGTTTAAAAAGGGTCGTGTGAGCACCTCTGATGGGCCTCGCTCAGGACGCCCCGTTGAGGTCACAACTCCAGATATGATCGAAAAAATTCATCAAATAGTGCTGGGAGACCGCAGATTGAAAGTGCGTGAGATAGCTGAGACCTGTAAGATGTCATATGAACGTGTGCAACATATTTTGCACCAACATTTGCATATGGAAAAGCTCTGTGCAAGATGGGTGCCGCGTTTGCTAACAGTCGACCAAAAATTGATTCGAAAAAACATTTCTACCGCAAATTTGTCATTGTATAAGCGTAATCCAAGCGAATTTTTGCGTCGATTCGTAACCGTTGACGAAACGTGGGTCCACCACTACACTCCTGAAACCAAAGAACAGTCTAAACAGTGGATTGGACCAGGGGAACCAACTCCAAAGAAGGCAAAAACAATTTTTTCGGCGAACAAGGTTATGGCTACTGTTTTTTGGGATGCAAGAGGTATTATATACATTGATTACCTTGCAAAGGGTAATACTATCACTGGTCAATACTACGCAGACTTATTGCAACGTTTGAGCCACGAGGTGAAAATTAAACGACCTCATCTGGCGAAGAAAAAAATCTTGTTTCATCACGATAACGCACCAGCGCACACGTCAATCGTTGCGACGGCTAAAATCAACGATCTAAAGTTTGAATTGATGCCGCACCCTCCTTACTCTCCAGACCTAGCCCCGAGTGACTATTTTCTGTTCCCTAATCTCAAAAAATGGCTTGGCGGTAAGAGATTTGCGGACAATGAAGAAGTAATCGAAGCTGTAAATGGTTATTTTGAGGAGCTTGACGAATCAGTCTATAGAGATGGCATTAATAGACTGGAACACCGCTATGAGAAATGTATCAGCCTTGGAGGAGATTATGTTGAGAAATAAAAAAAAAAAATTTTTAAAAACCTTGTTTTTCTTGGTCAGGCCGGAAACTTATCAATCCACCCTCGTATCATGCTTTTTTCTTGTTTCCAAATTTAACATATCCATTAATATTTATATGTATTACGTCTCATACGCAGCATAAATCCCTGATAAAAATTAAAAATCAGTAATTCCCTTTCAGCCTGTGATGTGTCATGCAAGAGCTACCCTGTACCGTACTTATATTCCATTTAAAAAATCATTAGCTACCGCTTGAATTTAAATTAACTTTATAATTACATTCAACCTGCTCTATATAGAGAAAATATGACAAAAAGCTTTCATCCCAAACAAAAAGCTGCTGTGGCACATGCTCTCCCTGCATTCTAAACCTTCTCAGCATGATCAGGAACATTAGCTTCTCTTCACGGGGTGAAAACTGTCCCCAGACACCTAAAAATCTATCATCGACTGATCAGGTGCATGTCGGAATAAAAAACAGGATTGCTGACGATCAATCTCGCAGCGCAGCAGGACAGTTGACGTAAGGGGGTTGATCAACGTTCCCTAATTAATCGATGCGGTGTACAGACACTAACAGCTTATCTACGTCGCTTTAGTGCAACCCCTAAATAAATTGTACCTACCAATATACAAATGCACTATTTGTATCTACAATTTTTTTTATTTTTATGAAAATGATAGGTAATATGTGCAGCTAACGAGATTGTGTCAGTTCTGGTTTAATGGTTAACAAGAAACTGAGAAAAATGTGACCAAAAAGGAACTTAACTTTTCGAAAGATTATTGAGACGACCTTTTCTAAATCTAATGAAAATTTTAGGTAGGTAAATAATTAGGTATCTATTAGGTGTGTACTCAAAATTTAGAGAAATACGTATTTATAAAGAGTTGTAGGAAATTTCTTGGAAATTCACAGTAACGACGAAAAATTAATTACTTATCTGAAATGGAAAACCTATTAGAAGTCGTTTTTATCAAATCAGAGTCAATCAGTGTACCCACAATCCATAATTTTGATTTAATCATGGTAATATTTTCCTATATTAGGTAATTAGGTATAATAACCAGTAAAATAACATCCTTTTGGTACTTATAGTTAGAAAATACTAGTTTTCCAGGATTTTCCACAAGGATTCTAAAACGCCATCATCAGGAAAATCATCTAAATCACTTATACAATTGAGATCACTCATACAAAGGACAAATATAGCTATTGGCACATTCACAACATAATCAGTTATCATTCTACAACTACGAAACGGAGAAATTTTCCGTCGGAGACGCTTGGCGTCATCGACCGTCGGTCTTGCATCGGGAAAATCGGCAAGAGGACGCTGGCTGACGCATACTGGGGCGCCGCGACGTCAAGGAGCGCCATGTTGGCTCGGTTCCTCCCACCGCTGCGACTGGCTCGCGAAACGTTATCGCAATGGGCGGAGCCACGCGACCGTCTCTTGATTGACAGTTGTGATAAGAGAGACGACGGCGTATGCAGCGACAGCGTCACGACGACGGTAAATTTCTCGAGTGCTTACTCCTAAATCAGCTTTGAGCCTGCCGTGTGTGTATATAAGGAAATTGGTTTCCTTTTTGCGGCAACGGAAAATGGAGAAAATGCAGTCGAACGAAAGAGACAGGAAAGACACACTACACGTCCGGTAAAACTAGAGACCGAATTTTAAGAAGGAAATAAGCACTGATTAATTATCGGATCCTAATAATAAAAACTGGATTTCAATACGTAAAAATCGTGTGCAAAATTATCCTTATTAGTCGTTGATTTATGATTTTCATTTTTGGCGATCGTTTTCTAACATAGACATTAAGTATCCGTAATATGCCAACTTTTTGGGCAAAATCCAAACAGTACCAAGTAATTATCACGTTTGAAGATGACGAACGCAATTTTATTTTCGTCATAATCATAAATATATGTACCTACAATAAACTGACTACATATTTGCCAACAAGACAATCCTAAATTACTGCAATAACCAATTTGCCTTTATTTCTTCATTGTATTTCAGATATTGCCAAACAGGAACGCACACAGAAGTGACTATAAAATTTTTATGACATCATTATAATCCAAGATTACAGACATCATTAACACTTATATAATCACGCCAACAAACAGTACAATCTGATTCTTCCACCAATTAATTAATTAATTAATTACATGTAGACATGGGTATGCGTGTGGGCAAGTGCCAACGTAACCCAAACTAACGTTTTTTTCCTGGTGGTGACCTTGATTGTCGGTGGTATCGTGAGGTTAGTTACCTAATTGTTTTTCCACATACTAATTAGATAATTGGCGATGTCTAAGGTAAAAATATTATTCAGTTTCGTTAAAAGTGACAATCGAGCTGGCGTTAATTGCTTTTACAAAGTGCTAATCGAATTGGCTGAAGCAAAGAACATAAATTACCCAACAAATAAAGTCCAAACAAATTCTCACAAGAAATGATACGGCACGCGTCCCAACGTAGTCCTTTCACGTAGAAACACAATGATGTTCCAAACTAACTAACTGACTTTGCGAGACTCCGCCCTCTTGGTCGTACACAAGAATCCTGAGACAAAGACTTCATAATGATATCGAAACGGACTAGAACGAGACGTGATTTCGATTGTGTTTGGCTTGCGCGCATGTCCCCATTGGCAGGCCTAGGGAGAGGCGTGTCGTATTAAAGTCTGTTTGATTCGGATAACAGAATGAACTTGGTTACTTTGGCATCGTTGCCACACATTGTCGAATTTTCAATTTTCAGGACCAAGGATTCAAGAAAGTGACTTCTCAAGGTGGTACTAGATTCAGGACTATTGGGATTTAATAGGCAGGATTCAGCTGAATCTCGTGGTATGACGATTGATACAAGGATTCGCATCAGGATTCAATAAATACTACGGTCACTAAGCAGTGTATTGAGATTTGGTGGTTCCTCAAAAAGATTCAGATGCCTAAGGAATAAGGAATCTGATATTGTCGACTTGAAGCATCATTGTAATCTTAATGTTCCTACTTTTAAAGCATTTTTTCAGCTTGTATTTCTGTAAAGGATTCAAGTCATCAAAGGATTCTTAAAATGGAGTGGATTAAAAAGAATTATGATGATAATCGATAGTTTCTAGGAGGGATTCGAATGACTAAGGATGAAGACCATGATCGGATCATAGATATCGAGGACCTACTACCCAATTCAGGATGAAGCATCCCTGGATCCATGGAGTATTGTTCAGTAGAATCTAGACTGAAATTTTGGATTCCTGTAATAACTGGGTAAATGTTACCTTCCAAGCGAACGATCGAGGGTGATTCTTTTCAAAAAGTATCGGAATCCGTTGCGCTTGGATGTGCGAGATATTTTGGAGGGTTATCGTGGCAACAGGGCTCTCGAAAAGCGCGTTCCCTAGAAAGGGACGGACATAACAAAGCGCAGCCAACTAGATGTGGGAGTTCCGCGAGAAGGACCCGAACTGCTGATGATATATAGAGTAGGCGACTTATGGTTAAACCGCGTTGGAAAGTGGGCCAGATTAGAGGGACTTTGTAGCATCAAGAACTATCCCGGATCCCGTGTGCACGGTCGCTAAGCGCTTAAGACTTTTTAATACTTTCATCGGATTTTCGTAAAACCGGCGACTATTTGCGGACAGTGATTCGAACCGGCGGTCGCGCGAACACCATGGCTACCGCGATGACAATCTGGACTTGGTGCGGATTTTGACGTTTCAACTGAAACGCGACCGCCGACGGTCTACCGTCGCGACGCCACAGCATCCCCCGCCCGACCACGCCGAACTGTGATTTTTTTTGTGATAAAGTGCGTGTGCTTACCTACTTAACACTTTAAGTGAGTGATTTGACAATAAAAACTGTCTCTGTATATATACCTACTTACAAATATATAAGTATACAAAGTGCGCGCTCTCGATTTATGACCAAAATACATCAAACAAAAGCCGATCTCTTCTGTTGTAAGTCAACAAACTTTTAACATTTATTTTAATAAAAGACAGATACATGCCGAAGGTCCCGTACCGCATATATTCCTTTCAATGGACTACATTTACTATTTTCCATGTATCTATATGCACCTTTTGGAGATAATGTAGAGAAAATAATATCATTAATGCTAAATTTATTCAATCCAGTAATTTATTTCCTAAACAAGTATTCGTTATAAGGAATATCCGTGACTTAAAACGGTTTTGAAAATTGCACGTATGATGATTATGTAATTTTCCAAAAGTTACAATATAATGTCATATTTTTTAACGGTCCAGAAAAATCTAGAATTGATCTGGATAAGTATTAGTCAAAAATTTTTCTCATTTGAAAACTCGTTAGCAATCAAGTTATTTTTCGTGACCAAATTTTCTTTGAACAGGTAAACATGCGATAAATACCTAAGCACATCCAAAAATTACGAGTTTAATTTTGGATAATTTATGCTCTACTAATAACCGACCACTTAGATGTGACAACAGCCTGACCACAGGAAAGTCTAAGGATTGTAATTTATGATTCCAATAATACACTTTCGGTGTGCTCTCCGGCATGTAAAAATGTCAAAGGCACCACATCAATGAGATTTGCACGTAAATATTTTGACAAACAAAATGTTGCAGTTGTTTCTCGCAATGCACTCTGATGTTTGTGAATCGATCTTCTTATGTTCTGATTCAATAATCCAGTGATTGTTGCAGTGACGGTATTTTTGTTAAGTGTTACATAACATTTTTTATACAGTACGTAGATTCTTGATATATTTTTGTTAAATGATAAGCAACATTCCTTCTTATCCATTTTCAGTTTATATTTTTACAACCCTTTTTCGTTGAACAAAAATTGATAGATAATAATAATCAATCAGTACGTACGATGGCTACGGTTGTAAAATCGAACGAATAAATTGTTTTCCTATAATGCCCGCTTTATTAAAACAAATATTACCTTTTCACTTAGCGATTTTACCGCCGCGACCATAAATTAAACAAATACCGCCGTCCCGATGATAAGGCGCATCGCTGATATTACTCCTTGATAAAAATTTAGGCCTAATTTTATTATACCTGGCTCCCGATAACTAACGTTATTTATTGCCCAATTCTTCACAATTTTGCACGTATATCGATCGACACCGTCGTACGCTGTAGAAAAATAATCTTTAATTACAACAAAAATTTATCGATGTTTTGTGAAAATCGATATCAATATTGCGCAGCTAAATCAAAGAACAAAAACATTTCTGTAATTTCAATATTCAATGTTCTATCGCAGAATTTTGAAGAATTATTTTCTACGTACCTATTGTGAGCCTTCGTCAAAGTTACAAAAACAAAAATTTGTGGTAACAATGTAGGGTAGGTACTGTAGATTGTACAAAACCCTTTCTTTAAAAGAAAAAGCATCAGTGGCATATGTTGTTTTCAATTTTGCAAAAGTAAACGTATTGAAAATGACGAGCTGATATTGTAAATACCTCCGATAAATAATAATGTAAAGCCCCCTATAGCAAATAATGGTTTTAAATCCTTTACTAGTTGGTTTTATGTTCTATAAAGTTTTAATGAAAGTAGCAATTATCGTAAAAGGATTAGTAAACGTGAAAGGCATTCTAATACGTGTAATGAACAAAATCGGTTTTAAATCGATCCGCAAATATGCTGATAATACCTACGGCTTTGACTTATCTATCCAAAGTAATTACCACTCAATTTGTAGTCCGAATGCATCGTCGATTTTCATCAGTAATACAAATGGCTCTTATGACAAATTTCGCATCGGAGAGGACTGATTCGTTGATTTCTTGTTTCAGAAAAATCGCCCGCAAAATCTCAACCGATTTCATTGATCTCAACGAACTGAAGTTCCTCATGGAACGATCAGAATCATTCTCGGATCCGTCGCTGTGTCTCCAAGACCTGGTGACGGGCGTCACGACGTCGTCTTCGTCGGCAAACGATCTCCACGGGGTCCATCATCTACACGATTCGGTGGCCTCATCTGTGTCATCGGCGATTTCCGGTATCATGAGTGGAGCACCATCGTCCGTCCTTAGTCATCACATGTCACCCCACGAACCTCATCATCACGGAGTCGTACCTCATACACCAAGTCTTCATCACGAACCGTTGGAAAAGCTAAAACGTGGTGAGTCGCACAATTTTTATTGGTCTTCCCCTTATGGGAACACCACCAACTCGTTTATATATTTAATTGTAATGCTACATCATTTTGGGATTCTCTTCGTTTTTGGAACACTAAAATTATCCCGGGGTTTTTCCCAAAAAGCCACCCAGTATGAGTAGCAAAGGATTCCTGGTAAATTCCAGTGAGGTTTGATTACCAACACTGATGAATAAGTTGTCCTTGTCTAAAAGAAACATAGTGACTGGTAGCGATTTTTCAAGATAACGTTTCTACGTTTTTGGTTGTTTTAAAGGGTGGAGATGCGTGTCCAACCAGTCTTAGGACTGACGACCTTATGACGACGATGAAAATATTTCAAAGTTGTGAATAATGACACGAGTGACTGACACCAAGTTGTAACAAATTGTTTTGTGTGCATATATATTACCAACGACATGAAAGAACTGAACAAATGCGTGTGTACAAGGTCCCATAGAGAACGGTGTGTGCGGGCTTCGCGTTCCTCGGAGGGTGTCGATGAAATGCACGGCTAATTGCCTTCACTGAATGGTCTTTTGTAATCAAGCAACCGCTGACGAACGATTTGAAATTCTAGAAGCGTTTAGGGGTAGCTGACAGCAATGCAGTGCGAGCGATTCTTCAACACTTGCTACTGACTCCCTTTGAAACTTTTATTATTGTTTGTTTTAAGGATTGCCATTAAGGAGAATGGACGTGGGTAGTGAGATTGAACACTGTTGGGTACTAATAAGGGGTCGTAGGGCGCGATCAATCCCATAAAAAGTTAATTTGCTAACTTACAAAGTGTGTTTATAATCCGATTGGATAGTCGAAATTATACGGTGATGCGGATACAATTTTATAGATTTGGGCCCGTGGTTTGGTCAGGGCCGAGTCTCATCACAAAGTACAAACGTCTATAGAATATAATATTTTAAATTAAATATCAATGTGGAATCACAGTCAGCTAAGAACAATTCCACACAATTTTGCCCAAATCTCATACACAAGTTACGTCTTCTCATTTCTATCTTAATCTAAATTAAGTTTCAATATTCAATTATATTAGATGCCATTTCAAAACCGCCCATAGTCTCACACAAATCTGAAAAATAGATAGGAATTTTCTTCTATCTTCTAAATTAAGAGCCAATATTCAGTTATATTAGATTCCCTTTCAAAACCGCCTATAGTCTCACACAAATTTGCAAAATAGAAAGGAATTTTCTTCCATCTTCTAAATTAAGAATCAATATTCAATTATATATTAGATTCCTTTTCAAAACTGCCTATAGTCTCACAAAAATCTTCAAAATGAAAAGGAATTTTCTTCTATCTTCTAAATTAAGTTTCAATATTCAATTATATTAGATTCGCTTTCAAAACCGCCCATAGTCTCACACAAATCTCCAAAATGGAAAGGAATTTTCTTCTATCTTCTTCTATATATATTTCAAATACAAAAAATCTACTTCTATCTCCAATAAATTACATACAATTTTGTGATAGATAAACAATCACACCCTATGCTATACTTTAAGATTCTTTTCAACATCATTCCGCAAATTTTCTGTGTGAATCCAAACACATGCCTGCATATACAATGGGTGACACAACAATACAGTCAAAATTGGATGTGACTGATTTTTATGGAATTGTACGTCATCGAAATTAGTACCCATTATTACGTATGCCTACCGCGAAATAGAATGTGAAACTAAAGATTCTTTTAGTGTAATTTTATAAATGTATTTTGCCTG